AAGTTAACTGGGCTAGAGTCAATCTGCATGCTACTCATGTAAGGCCGCGCTGAGTCTCCCTTGTGGGGAGAAGGGCGGGATATAAATATATTATGTTTTATGTGTACTGATTTGTTGGAAACTGCCTTGAGTTGCCGATTGGCTGAGAAAGGCAGTATACAAATACAGTAAACAAATAAATAAATAAATAAGGCACAATATGTCTAAAGCCACTCTTCCATATTAATAAACAAGTGTCATGGTCTGCAGTTTGTCTAGTTTGGCTCTGCTACTGCGAAGGCAAGCCTTCAGCAGATGCCAACACCCCACTATTTGGAGAACATTTGAAAGGGGCTCAGCTGATCTCTTCCTTGAGGAAAGTATCAGGCTTCTGGGAGTCACCATGAAGCCTTCCGCTTTGGTTAGACCACACCTGGAATATTGTGTCCAATTCTGGGCACCACAATTCAAGAGAGATATTGACAAGCTGGAATGTGTCCAGAGGAGGGTGACTAAAATGATCAAGGGTCTGGAGAACAAGCCCTATGAGGAGCGGCTTAAGGAGCTGGGCATGTTTAGCCTGAAGAAGAGAAGGCTGAGAGGAGATATGATAGCCATGTATAAATATGTGAGAGGAAGCCACAGGGAGGAGGGAGCAAGCTTGTTTTCTGCTTCCCTGGAGACTAGGACGAACAATGGCTTCAAACTACAAGAAAGGAGATTCAATCTGAACATGAGGAAGAACTTCCTGACTGTGAGAGCCATTCAGCAGTGGAACTCTCTGCCCCGGAGTGTGGTGGAGGCTCCTTCTTTGGAAGCTTTTAAACAGAGGCTGGATGGCCATCTGTCAGGGGTGATTTGAATGCAATAATTCCTGCTTCTTGGCAGGGGGTTGGACTGGATGGCCCATGAGGTCTCTTCCAACTCTTTGATTCTAGGATTCTACTATACGTGTAAGGGCTTGGAGGAAAATGGCTCTTGGTAGCAGACAAGTAGGGGATGGGGGAAAGCCTCCTTTGTGTCTGCATGCCCGCAGCTGAGAGAGAAGCTGGTAAGAACGGCTGAGAGAGGAGCCTCCACATTGGCCTGCCTCTAATGTTGGGCCTTTTCCATCGTCATTTCTTCTGGTGTCGCTGCTGCTGCAGTGTTCAAACCAGACAGGCAGTCTTGGGGCCTCCTCCACCATCGCCCCCTTGGCTGTTGTGTTACAACACTGGCTTGTTCAATCACCATTGTCATTGTTACTCTTGGAGGAGATGCTGTGGCTTACCATTGCTCAGTGTTTGAACTTTTATTAGCAAGCCATCCCCTTGCCCCCACCCCCTCCAGAACAAATGGACTGGTCTGGGCTAAGTAGACTGGTCCAGCTGGATGCCTTATAGAGAATCTTTCAACAGCCTGTTTGGAGACGATGGAAGCTAACACCCTTCTTTTTACCATCCCTCCATCCCCCTCTTCCCACCCCTCTCCTACCCCCCTATACCCACCTTCACTCCCTTCTCCTTTTACCCAATCCCCCAACCCAACCCCCCCCCATCTAGCCTTCCTCCTTTTTACTGTTTTTTTAACCCCTCACTGTAAAAAAATGCTCAAAAAATATTTAAATAAAAAGTGCAGACTTGTCAGCATTTAATATGAGTAGCATGCAGACTGACTCTAGCCCTTGTAACTCTATGTGTGTGATAAAGCAACTCATAAAAGAAAAACACATGAGTCTTCGGCTTTAAGTAGAAAAGAAAAACATTGTTATATTCGCAGCATACAAAAAAAAGCAGAAGAAATGCTCTCACCACAAAAGTAACAAAAAACAATTTCTTCAGTGAGTTATCTTCACTCAGCTCTGATGTGCAGGAAAGTAACAGAAAACAATATACAGTTTCTCTCTTACTCTGTAGTGCATAGTGTGACCTTGTCTTCCTTCACAGGCTTTATAATAAATAATATTAAAAATAAAACTTTATTTATACCCCGCTACCATCTCCCCAAGGGACTCGGTGCGGCTTACATGAGGCCGAGCCCACAATACATCAATACAAGCAATAACAACAGTAAAACAATTAAATAAAACTCAAAACAAAAAGCCATATACAATGACAGTAATACAACACACAATTAAAATCTATGGCTGGGCCAAATGTAATTAAAGTTAAAAATAATGCTAGGCATGGATAAGGTGGGAAAGATGGGGCGTTGGTGGGGGCATACAACAATCCTAAATCAGTGTAAAGTGCATTTGGAGGGCACAATGCTGAGAATTCATTATTCTGGGAAGGCACACTGGAACAACCACGTTTTCAAACTTCTCCTAAAGACCACCAGAGTTGGGGCATGCCTGATGTCCTTGGGAAGTGAGTATCTTCATAGGATGCTTGCAGCAATGTTCCCGGCACAAAAGATTCCAGGTCGGACCAAGCCTCAAGCATAGCATAGACCGCAATGCTTACGCAAAGAACAAGGACCAGGAAAAAAAACAACTACAAACACACAGTAGCTTGCTATATACACAAGATAACAATACACTCAATCAACCTATTAATTAACTGAATCAGCTGCAACAAGAACAGCCCTGATCCTTTCCAATACTTAGTAAAAAGTACGTTGTAAACTCTTAGTAGCAACAAGACTCTGTATCAGGCATCCTTTCTGGCCTGAAAGCAATAAACCTCTGTTCCTGTTGCTTTTAAATCTGGTTTGCATGCTGATCTGGCTTTCAAAGTAGTGGGCACACCGGGCACTGCACCTCAGCCATTCCTTTGGCAGGTAGCTGAATCTGAATCTCATAATCACTGATGCCTGTAACCTTTCCCCTTGCCCCAAAGAATGATCTAACCTTTTCCATGCTTTCTGAAAACCTCAAGCTTGCTGGAAAGACCTGCACTGCAACAGGAGCCCAGAAAGGTCGAACAGACTGCTGACCATGGCAGTAGTTTTAGTTGCGAGTTTATTGTGTGTTTATTATTAGTATATGTTGTGCAGAGCGTGTTTTAGCCAAGCCCCATGCAAAAGACACACAAGCAAGAGGAAAAAAGGAACAGAAAAACAGCAGAGACATAAACTTGCAGTGTTCATACAAAATCAAACAGTGCAAAAAACTTACATAGTCCTTGTAATAAACACAGAATCATAGAATCATAGAATCAAAGAGTTGGAAGAGACCTCATGGGCCATCCAGTCCAACCCCCTGCCAAGAAGCAGGAATATTGCATTCAAATCACCCCTGACAGATGGCCATCCAGCCTCTGTTTAAAAGCTTCCAAAGAAGGAGCCTCCACCACACTCTGGGGCAGAGAGTTCCACTGCTGAATGGCTCTCACAGTCAGGAAGTTCTTCCTCATGTTCAGATGGAATCTCCTCTCTTGTAGTTTGATAAGGCTTCTTCATCTTCATTCATCAAGAAATAGTTTTCTAAGATCTACAGAGACACTCGCTGAAACACCTCAGCAAGTGAGAGTCCAAAAGTGGCAGGCTCAAACCCAGAACCGCAACCAATGGCTGATACCAAAGGAGAGACTCCCCCCTGGGCACACAGAAGACTGGGCGACTTGGAAGGCGCTGAACAGACTGTGTTCTGGCACCACGAGATGCAGAGCCAATCTTATGAAAAGGGGCTACAAAGTGGAATCCACAACATGTGGGTGTGGAGAAGAGCAAACCACTGACCACCTGCTGCAATGCAACCTGAGCCCTGCCACATGCACAATGGAGGACCTTCTTGCGGCAACACCAGAGGCACTCCAAGTGGCCAGATACTGGTCAAAGGACATTTAACCAACTACCAAATTTGCAAAATCTGTGTGTTTTTTTTTCTTTTTCTTTTTAATCTGTGTGTTTGTTTTGCTCTGTTAGAATTGTAATACAATGGTTGCTGATGACACGATAAATAAATAAACGTGGCTGATACCAGATGAGAGACTCCCTCCTGGGCACACAGAGGACTGGGCGACTGGGAAGGCGCTGAACAGACTGCGCTCTGGCACCACGAGATGCAGAGCCAACCTTCGGAAATGGGACCACAAAGTGGAATCCTCGAGAGGAGCAAACCACTGACCACCTGCTGCAATGCAACCTGAACTCTGCCACATGCACCATGGAGGACCTTCTTGCGGCAACACCAGAGGCACTCCAAGGGGCCAGATACTGGTCAAAGGACATTTAATCAACTACCAAACTCACACATTTTGTATTTTGTCTGTTTGTTTGCTTTGCTCTGTTAGAAATGTAATATAAATGACTGGTTGTCCTGACACGACAAATAAATACACCCTTTATACACCTCCTGTCAAATCAGCACTTTTAATCCTTGTACCCACCTTTTTGGCCCGGCCCAGTTTTATTGTGTTTTAATGTACTGTGCCTGTTGTTTACTTTGCTTTATTTTGTTTTAATTGTTTGATTTGCTTGATTGTATTGTTATGTTGTGTTGTCGAGGCCTCGGCCTGTGTAAGCCGCATCGAATCCTTTGGGAGATGCTAGCGGGGTACAAATAAAGTTTAATAAAATAATAATAATAATAAAATAAATAAATAAATAGGAGGCCTGTCCTATGACTGCAGACAGATAACAGAAAGAAAATAAAGTTGGAGCTCCTGGTACAGCTGTACCAGCACACCACCAGTGATGCTGTGATTTGCAGTCCAATATCCTCAGCATCTCTCAGCCTTGAGGCGCCACCATGGATCCCTCAGGATTGAGAGACCCCCACCAGGGATGCTGGGCTTTGCAGTCCAGCATCATCTGCTTAGTGTCGCATAATGGGTGCTTAATGAACCCAGCAATTCCCAGCACCCAGGCTGAGCATTTCCTCCTTCCTTCCTGTTTCTCCTGGCTGCTTTGGGGAGGAGTGCATGGGCAGCTTGGCACAGAAGATGAGCTACTGAGTCCTTGGATCCTCTTGGGTTTCGTTTCTTGGGGCAAAAGCGGGGAAAGGGAAAGCAACCCTCCCTCCCTCCCTCCTAAGGTCTCTGCCAGCCCTGGATTCGAGGAGCTCAGCACGTGGTGGGCGGGCGGATGGGGGCGGATGGGTCCCCTCCCTCCCTCCCTCTCTCCTCTCTTCTTTCTCCCAACCCACGCCGACTTCTTCCCAAAAGATCCCCGCCCAAGGAGACGCGCAGGTCTGCGGCCGGAGACGCGGGATCGAAAGAGAGGAAGAAGGAGAAGAAGGAGAAGCTGCAGCCAGGATGAAGGTGGCCTTGGCGCTCCTGCTGGCTGGATGCCTCTGCGTGGAAAGAGGTCAGTCAGGCCTTGGCCATCCCATTGTCTGTCTCCACTGCCTTTGCCCATTTCCCCCTCTTTCCCTGCTTGGTTCAGCCTTAGGGAAAAGGAGGGGCTGTTTTCCTGCATGTAGATAGCTTCGAGGTTCTTGTATCACCTTCACGGCTAAACTGTCTCCAGTTTGGAGACTGGGTGGCCCTTGGAGAGCTCTAGGATTCCATGGATGACTACTAAAAGGATTGATGAGGGGTCTCCACGTATTAAATCGAGGGCCAGAAAGCCCAGGTTTGGACCTTGAGCTTTAGAAGGAACCCGACAAAGTTAGATGCTTTCTGTTGGTCTGCCATAAAGTCACTCCACTGAAACAATAGGATTTTTGCCTAGGTGTTGACGTCATTGTGAGAACCATTGACTCAACAAGTCCAGTCGAGTTAGGACAAAGGAGCAAGAGGGAAAACAGTTCAATGAAACAGAAAGAAAGGCTGGCATCTCAGAGGCAGATAGGTATTTTTCTTTGGCAGCTAAATTTGGGGTGGGGTGCCACTGTGCATTTTCACTCTTCATATTTGCACATGCATGTACATACACACACTTCTGCTGTACATAGAGTCATAGATTTGGAAGACGCTGAGAACTGGGAAGCCCTTGCCCTCGAGCGCTCTAGCTGGAGGTCAGCTGTGACCAGCAGTGCTGTAGAATTCGAATAGGCAGAAACGGAGGGTGAAACATGCCAAGAGGAAGGTGCGTCAAAACTCTTAAAAACTCTGGCATAGACACTGAGAACTGGGAAGCCCTGGCCCTGGAGTGCTCCAGTTGGAGTTCAGCTGTGACCAGCAGTGCTGTAGAATTCGAATAGGCACAAATGGAGGGCGAAACATGCCAAGAGGAAGGCACGTCAAAACTCTTAAAAACGTCAAAACTCTTAAAAACTCTGGCATAGACACTGAGAACTGGGAAGCCCTGGCCATTGAGCGCTCCAGTTGGAGGTCAGCTGTGACCAGCAGTGCTGCAGAATTTGAAGAGGCACAAATGGAGGGCAAAACATGCCAAGAGGAAGGCACGTCAAAACTCATAAAAACTCTGGCATAGACACTGAGAACTGGGAAGCCCTGGCCCTCGACCACTCTAGCTGGAGGTCAGCTGCGACCAGCAGTGCTGTAGAATTCGAAGAGGCACAAATGGAGGGCAAAATGTGCCAAGAGGAAGGCACGTCAAAACTCTTAAAAACTCTGGCATAGACACTGAGAATTGGGAAGCCCTGGCCCTTGAGCGCTCCAGTTGGAGGTCAGCTGTGACCTGCAGTGCTGTAGAATTTGGAGAGGAATGGGGTGCGAAAGAGAGAAACGTGTCAAGCCAACCCCAACCGGGACCGCCTTCCACCTGGAAACCAATGCTCTCATTCTGGGAGAACATGCAGATCAAGAATAGGGCTCTACAGTCACCTACGGACCCACCCCAAGGATACTACACTTGGAGGACCATCATCAAAGAAAAAGTTTGTCTATGTGTGTTGTGTATCTTTGGCATGGAATGTTTGCCATATATGTGTACATTGTAATCCGCCCTGACTCCCCTGCAGGGTGAGAAGGGCGGAATATAAATACTGTAAATAAATAATAATAATAAATAATCCTCGGACTACGAGGGATCACCTAAGTAAGTAAGTAAGAAAGATTTGGAAGAGACTCCAAGGGCCATCCAGTCCAAGTCCCTTCTGCCAGGCAGGAAGACACAATCAAAGCACTCCCAACAGATAGCCATCCAGCTGCTGCTTAAAAAGACTGCTGGACTCAAAGGAAGTATATGCCCTTACAGTTCTTATCATCGAAACATAGAATCCTAGAGTTGGAAGAGACCTGGTGGGCCAACCAGTCCATCCCCAATCTGCCAAGAAGCAGGAAAATTGCATTCAAAGCACCCCCAAACAGATGGCCATCCAGCCTCAGTTTAAAAGCCTCCAAAGAAGCAGCCTCCACCACATTTAAGACATGGAGTCATGGTAAATTGCATTCAAAGCATCCCCCGACAGATGGCCATCCAGCCTCATAGCGTTGGAAGAGACCTCATGGGCCATCCAGTCCATCCCCAATCTGCCAAGAAGCAGGAAAATTGCATTCAAAGCATTCCCCGACAGATGGCCATCCAGCCTCATAGCGTTGGAAGAGACCTCATGGGCCATCCAGTCCATCCCCAATCTGCCAAGAAGCAGGAAAATTGCATTCAAAGCACCCCCAACAGATGGCCATCCAGCCTCATAGTTGGAAGAGACCTCATGGGCCATCCAGTCCATCCCCAATCTGCCAAGAAGCAGGAAAATTGCATTCAAAGCATCCCCCGACAGATGGCCATCCAGCCTCATAGAGTTGGAAGAGACCTCATGGGCCATCCAGTCCAACCCCATTCTGCCAAGAAGCAGGAAAATAGCATTCAGAGCACCCCTGATAGATGGCCATCCAGCCTCTGCTTTCCGACTGTCAGAAGAGACCTCATGGACCATCCAACCCCCCAAGAAGCAGGAAAATAGCATTCAAAGCACCCCTGACAGATGGCCATCCAGCCTAGAATCATAGAGTTGGAAGAGACCTCATGGGCCATCCAGTCCAACTCACTGCCAAGAAGCAGGAATATTGCATTCAAATCACCCCTGACAGATGGCCATCCAGCCTCTGTTTAAAAGCTTCCAAAGAAGGAGCCTCCACCACACTCCGGGGCAGAGAGTTCCACTGCTGAACGGCACTCACAGTCAGGAAGTTCTTCCTCATGTTCAGATGGAATCTCCTCTCTTGTAGTTTGAAGCCATTGTTCCGCGTCCTAGTCTCCAGGGAAGCAGAAAACAAGCAGATAAGCCTAGATAAAAGACAAGTGGGAGTGTGGAAATAACCAACTTCCCTCCCTTCATTGCTGTGGATTTGGGCCCAAATTGGCCTTGAGAGGGCCTCTTCCCCAAACTGGAAAGCGAACCTTGGTTTTGATGACTCAAAATGCATATGGGATTGTACCTGAAGCTATATAAGGATACTAAATATGTACATTGAGAGTATGTATTGGGTGAGTGTGCTTATTAACAAAAGACCCTTCTCATCAATATATAGCAGAGTAACTTATTAGCAGACCCGTGACCCAGCACCAGTGGACCAAATTGATAAAAAGAACAAATACAGACCAAAAACAAACTCTCAGCTCGCAGGCGACTCGGGGCGGTTTACAATTGGTGCCAAGACCATTAAATACAATTTCAATACAACAAAAAGAATCTATATAAATAAAAATGTAATGTTCTTTTTTGGAATTCACAGAACTCAAAAACCCCTTGTGGAATTGGCACCAAATTTGGACACGGTACACCTAACAACCCAATGTATGTCCTTCACTCAAAAAAATTATTTTGTCATTTGGGAGTTGTAGTTGCTGGGATTTATAGTTCACCTACAATCAAAGAGCATTCTGAACCCCACCAACGATGGAATTGAACTAAACTTGGCACACAGAACTCCCTTGAGCAACAGAAAATACTGGAAGGGTTTGGTGGACAGTGTCCTTTGGTTTTGGAGTTGTAGTTCACCTACATCCAGAGATCACTGTGGACGCAAACAATGATGGATCTGGAACAAACTCTACAACAGTGGTTCTCAACCACCCTAATTCCGTGACCCCTTAATACAGTTCTCCATTGTTGTGGTGACCCCCAACCATAACATTATTTTTGTTACTTCACAACTGTAATTTTGTTGCTGTCATGAATCTTCATGTAAGTATCTGATATGCAGGATGTATTTTCATTCACTGGACCAAATTTGGCACAAATGCCTGATACACCCAAATTTGAATTCTAGTGGGGTTGAAGGGGAGATTGATGCTGTCATTTGGGAGTTGTAATTGCTGAGATGTATAGCTCACATACAATAAAAGAGCATTCTGAACTCCAACAACTGAATTGAACCAGTCTTGGCACACAGAACTCCTGTGACCAAAAGAAATACTGGAAGGGTTTGATAGGCATTGACCTTGAGTTTTGGAGTTGTAGTTCACCTACATCCAGAGAGCGCTGTGGACTCAAACAGTGATGGATCTGGACCAAACTTGGCATGAATACTCAACATGCCCAAATGTGAACACTGGAGGAGGTTAGAGAAAATAGACCTTGAGGCTTGGGAGTTGTGGTTGCTGGGATCTATAGTTCACCTACAATCAAAGAGCATTCTGAACTCCAACAATGAGAGAATTGGGCTAAACTTCATATATAGAAACCCGATGACAAATAGAAAATACTGTGTTTTCTGATGGTCTTTGGCGACCCATCTGATACCCCCTCGCAACCCCCTCAGGGGTCCCGACCCCTAGGTTAAGAAACACTGCTCTACAAGAATACTCAATATGCCCAAATGTGAACACTGGTGGAGTTTGGGGAAAATAGAATCTTGACATTTGGGAGTTGTAGTTGCTGGGATTTATAGTTCACCTACAATCACAGAGCATTCTGAACCCCACCAACGATAGAATTGGGCCAAACTTCCCACACAGAACCCCCATGTGGGCCACAGCAACGCGTGGCAGGGGACAGCTAGCTTATATAAATAAAAAGGTTACATCCCGAATAGACTACTGCAACGCTCTCTCTACGTGGGGTTGCCCTTGAAGACTGTTTGGAAACTTCAACTAGTCCATTGAGCGGCAGCCAGACTGCTCACCGGAGCAACATACAGGGAGCACACCACCCCCCTGCTGTGCCAGCTCCACTGGCTGCCGGTTCAGTTCCGAGCACAATTCAAGGTGCTGGTTTTGACATACAAAACCCTGTACGGTTCCGGTCCAGTGTATCTGTCCGAACGTATCTCCCTCTACGTCCCACCCCGGAGTCTGAGATCATCTGGGGAGGCCCTGCTCTCGACCCCACCACTGTCACAAGTGAGGCTGGTGGGGACGAGGAGCAGGGCTTTCTCAGTGGTGGCCCCTCACCTGTGGAACTCACTCCCGGGGGAAATCAGGACATCATCATCCCTCCTCTCCTTCAGGAGGAG